TGCTAGTCTGATGGGGGTTCCTTTATATGTAACTTTCTGTCTCTTTCTGGCTGCTTTTAAGCTTCTTACTTTGTCACTGGTGTTTGCCAACTTAATTATAATGTTCCTTGGCATTGGTCTTTTGGGATTCATTTTCCTTGGGACTCTGCGAGCTTCTTGTATTTGTGTGGGTTTTTTCTTCTCCATCTCAGGAAGGTTTTATGTCATTATTTTTTGAAACAGGTTTTCTATGCCTTCCTCAGTTTTCTTTCCTCCTGGAACCCTATTATTCTAATATTGTTTTGTTTTGTATTGTCCCAAAGTTCCCGGAGGCTCTCCTCCTGCTTTTTAATTTTTTTTTTCCTAGAAGCTGCTCTACTTGGGTATTTTTTTCCATCTTGTCTTCTAGCTCACTGATTCAGTCTTCTGCTTCTTCTAGTCTACTTTTGATGCTTCCTATTGAGATCTTTACAGTAGTGATGTCATTTTTCATTTCTTCTTGGTTCATCTTCATTTCCTCTTGGCTCTTCTTCATTTCCTCTTAGTTCTTACTCATCTTGTCAAATTTGTCTTCCATTCTTTTTAGCCATCTTATGATCATTACTCTGAATTCTTACTCTGGTAGGTTGCTTGTCTCTAACTCGTTTATTTCCTTTTCTGGTGATGCCTGCTTTTCTTTCATGTGCGGGCTATTTCTTTGTCTTCCCATGGTTTCTCTTTTTAGGATATCTGGTTATGTAGTTCTCTTCTCCTTTCCATGGGTGATTGAAGAACTCCCTTGAATCCACGTGTTTGCGCTGATTGGGGCGTCACAGCTGTTTGGTGGTCTCCATTGTTGTGGGTTTTTCAGGACTCAGATAAGATCCTCTTTTCTTTGTAAGATGGAGTTTTCCCTCTGAGCCTGTAGCTCCAGGAGAAGTCTCCATGGCAGTACGGGCTGCTTGGTCAGGAAATCCTGTCCAGCAGATCACCACCTTCTCATAGAATTCTTCTACCCCTTAGCTTGCCAACTAGCACTCCCCGAACGACTCTCCGGTGCTCCTTCTATCTACTCTGGGACTAGGCTCAGAACAGGTCCATCTGTTCGGCTGCCATTTTCCCTCTTCGGATGTTTCCTTTTTTTAAAAATGAGGTCTTACTAAGTCAAATGAATCCTTGTGGAGCCTCTCCAGCTGCTAGGATGGGGAAGAGAGATTTTTACTTATTCATCACTGACCCTTTCAATATTTACATAGTCTTTGTACCAGAACAGCCTTCCTCTTTCCCCTTTGCAGGTGAAGTCTTCTTTTTAGAACTTGATTATCTTCAACTTATATAGTGTTGTGGCTGTGGCTATATAATCTTCTTATTGATTAAATAATCTTCTTACTTGATTTCCACAAGTGTTTAAGAGGAAGGATCAGTCCTTCCCGCTGGAGTAGGTTCTCAACATTCCACGTAGGCTCCCTGACCATTTATTTCTCTTCTCCTTTCTGGATGTCTGAGCCCTCTTGGTGCTGCTGCTCTCTGCTACCTTGTGAATATTCCATTCTGTGCAGGCGTGCCTCCTCAGGACATTTAGAGGTGCTTCAAGACTTAGGACTAAATGTTTGGCTCTATTCTATTTCTCTGCAGTACTTCGTGTGATGCTGAGTGTCTAAGTTATTGTGCATTGAGGTGAGGATTCCATAATTGTTCCTGTTGAGAATTTTTTGGTTCTGGTCAAAGAGTAAATAAAAGTCTCATACTATTTCTGGATTTTATAGGAAAGGCCATACAGGGGGGGAAATTGAAGTTAAGTTTTTCTGTAATACAGCATTTTTCAGCTTTATTAGGTATAATTGTCAGAATTGTAAGGTATTGTAGTACAGTATTTTTATTGTATGTAATTTCACATTTTCATGATAACTTCAAGTAAGTTTTTCCTGACACTGTCACTGATAAATGCAAAGAAGTCAGAGGTGATATCCTTTTCTGAACTTGAAGGTAAAAAAAAAAAAAAAAAAAAAAAAAAGTAAATGATTTTGAATTTGAGCAAAATTACTATTGACATATTTTATGGTTCATAATTATATAGACATTTTATGTCTTCACTTCAAGCTGCTTCAAGTACAAATAACTGGTATTAAATTTTGAAGTAGTGCCACTTGATCACCAGCCATAGTCGTCATTCCTCTTGTGAAATTGTGGGGTTTTTAGCTGTTAACATTTGTTCAAGTTTTTTTTAATTATTGGAAGGAATAGATGGATAAAAGTAAGCATACTATAGTATTAAGTGATTATAAAAACACCTTATTTTCTATTTCTGATAAATGAAAGCGGCTTCTTTGAACAGGAACTTGCACATCTTATTCTTGTTTATCATTGCGTATTCTGTTCTTACCGATAGGATGTCTTCAGAGCTTTACACGTGGTGGTTGGGGGACAGGGATGCTCTTGTTGCTCAAACAGCCTGGTGGTGTATTTGGATTGTGCGGTTCACAGGGTCTGTTCTAGCAGATGGAGATCCTTCAAGAGCTAGATCGCACTCTGTGGCTGCACCCCTTGCTCTCTTTTGGTCTCAGACCTCGTGGCCATTGCTGAAAGGTGACCTTCTGTATGGACAGTGACATTGTCAGAGCAACAGGGAGGAAGGATGCGACTAGGGAGCTGTTGGGAGGGGACACGGGGATGTGCTGCATAGCTCGCTCTGGGGGCTTCATGGGCGTCAGCATAGCGTCCCCATGTCACCAGGCTGGGTCACTCGCACAAGACAGGCTGCGCCCATAGAACCAGCGGAAGGGAACGAACGCATTGGAAGAACCAAGAGGAGAGGAATTGTTAAAGACTTTTTACACATACCTAACTCCGTGAGGTGAGAATTCAACCTCAGTTAACAAATAAGTAAAAGTGGAAGGTTAGTCCATTGGGACCCCCAGGTCTTGCTGGTCCCCAGCTGTGTTGTTTCCTCTTTACTGCACAGTGACATAGGAAACCACAGGGAGGTCAGAAAGTATACAGAGCTCTTGCTATATTCTTTTTTTAAATGCTTTTGATAGGGTTTTTGGGGGTTTTTTTGAGAGAGAAGAAGAAGAAAAAGAAAAAGGAGGAGGAGGAGGAGGTGGTGGGAGAGGGAGTGGAGGGAGAGGGAGATAGAGAAACACTGATATAAGAGAGAAACATTGATCAGTTGCCTCTCACATGCATCCCAACCAGGGATTGAACCCACAACCTGGGTATGTGCCCTGACTGGGAATCGAATGGTGACCTTTTGGTGCACGGGTCAACACTCAACCAACCGAGCCACACTGGCCAGGTATTCTTGATTCTGCATTTTCTTCAAGGTTTGTGCAGCAGTGTATTTTGAAAAATCACAAATGAAGCACTTAACAAGTTCTTTGCACCTACTTGCGGAGAGATTTGGAAATTTTCCCAAGACACTGGTTCTCCTCGCACATCACCTAAATGCTTATATTTTAAAACAGCAGAGTAATCAGTGAAGCAGACAGATATCACTGAAGGTAAAGTGTTTCACAATCTCGGAGTTTCACAGTGCCTTGACTGTGTCTTGCAATGGTTGACAACTAAAGTTTAGTTTGATTAAGAAAGCACTAAACTGTGTAAGGGGAAGGGTGAATCATAGTTGCAGACAGTCTTAGTCATGACAAACTGGCATCACTGATCTCCCACTTACTGTATTAAGAAACCTCTAGTAGCAGATATGTTTCATCGTTGGCCCTCCCATGATGATAAGAGAATTTGGGGAAAGATATTTACCTGGAAATGATAGATATAACATTTCTCTGTAAAAAGTGACGTCTCTACATTTTAGTTTCTTTTAAGGAATATAAACATTTCATTTCTTTTAATAAACAGTGTGCTTTCAGGGAAAGCAACATTTCCCCACTGGTGGCGTCTCTTTTCACACTTTATTTTTATCAATTCTTATTTAAAGTTCTTATTACTTATTTGCTTCCAGTGTTCCTCTTTGTGCTGTGTCCCCCCCCCCCCCCCGCCCCCAGCCTGCACTGTGCTGGCAGTGACTGACCTGGAGGCAGAGGACCCGCTGTCCTCTGGCCCTGAGACCCTCAGTCTCCAAGCTTACCTTTGGTGGCCTCTGTCTCTCCCCTCCTGGACTGCCCCCCTTTCATTTTAACTGTTACAGATGCAGGGATGAGCAATGGGAAGCACAGCCAGGCACAGCGTCTCAAGATGTACAAAGGGCTCAGAGCCATGGTGATCATATTTGCAGAATCAAAAATTGAGGCGCTTACCCTAACCACTTCACGTGTATTTGAAGGTGTTTGAAATAAGCTATTTCCCCAAGTCTAGGACAGTGACCACGTAATTTGTAGTCCCAAAGGATAGTCTTGGTGCATCTCCTTAGACAGGAAGAGTAGTAAGTTATTAATATGTATCCTAATGTGGAATCAATTATAGAGTAATTTTAACAATAGATATAAATTAAAGGAATAATCTATTTATTCTAATTGTTATTTTAGCTATTATAACTTTCAAATACAGGCCAAAAGTGAACTTTTCTAATTTCCTTATACTTACTGAGAAATTTGTTAAAGCATGCTTGAATTTCTTTTTTTCGTTTTTTAAGCATGCTTGAATTTCAGCAAGACCACTTGTTATCTGAACAAAGAGTAGTTTGCCTTCCTTCCTTACCCCAAGCAAAATCAGTCTCCTCATGGAGGCAGTGAGAGGGAGTGGAGAGAGGAGTAAATGCCAAACGGGTGAGCAAAACCAGGAGTGGCTCCTTCTCCTGGTTTCTCTGCTCGCCTGTCTTCCTCCTCTCTTCACCACCCCTACACTGGGTATCACCATCTTCGTTATTCTTGTCGATCTATAAACAGAATTTTTCACTTTTCATTGGGATTGCAAGAGCACCTTTCTCCCGGTACAGATAAGGATTTAGATTCGGGGTAATGTCTTTTCTGAATGTATCCATAGCTCTGCTGTCAGTGAGCTGCTTGACGTGCTTCAGAGAAAGCGATGATTGATTTTATTTATCTTGAGAAAGAAAATTAATGTGTGTTTTTTTCCTTTTCCTTCAGTTGCTGATCATCTGGGCTGTGATCCTCAAACCCGGTTCTTTGTCCCTCCCAATATCAAACAGTGGATTGCCTTGCTGCAGCGGGGAAACTGCACGTTTAAAGAGAAAATATCACGGGCTGCTTTCCACAATGCCGTTGCTGTAGTCATCTACAACAATAAGTCCAAGGAGGAGCCAGTCACCATGACTCACCCAGGTAAACAAGCAGAGGAGGTGGGAGATTTATTTTCCTCCTAGAAATCATTGCCTTATAAGTAGGCGTTCCTCTGCTGAAACCGTATCGTTTTCAACATATATTTATTTTTGATGTCACCATTTTTCTTTCCCCTTAGCTGAATTATTTTTCTTAAATAATGGCCATAAGAACCTATAAAACTTGTACTTACTAAGAAGCTGGCTTTGATGGAATAATTAGTCATTTTACATTCTTACATTTCACTTGGAAACTTTGAAAAATAGCGTATTAGATTTGGAATCATTCACCCAGGTATCTAATGGATTCTCAAGGCTTACCTCTTTGAGAAGATGCTTTTGTCTTGTCAGAATCAATTTTGAAACTGACTTAAGTATAGCATAGTTACAGTTGGAACAATATTAATTTCTTGCAGAAACATGTAGGGTATTTCTAAGGTAACTGTTTTAATAACAATAGTGTTAGTTTATTGCCAGGTTAATAAGAGCTTTTTTTGTTTATAAATAGACTTTATTTTTAGATACATAGAAAATTAGAATAATGTGGGAAAGTAAATTGGTACAGTACTTTGGAAAGTTGGCACTACTTGATATATTAGAAAATTCAGAAATTGTAGTTCTAAGATACATACTCTAGAGTACTTTTTAAACTTTAATATGCTACCAGTCACCTGGAAATCTCATTAAATTGCAAATTCTGGTTCAGTAGATGTAGGGGACAGCACGAGGTTCTGTATTTTTCATGTTTCCAGATGATGCTAATGCCACCCTGGTCCCCAGATCTTGCTTTGAGGAACAAGGAAGTAAAGACAGGCAACATCGGTTTTAATCCCAGGTTGACATTGGCCACGTTGCCTCCTGAGCGGGAAGACCTCTTGTGACTCTAAGTCTACTTGTGTCTGGCCACGAGTCTCTGCTGTGGTGGACAGGAGCAGAACGTCTCTGTGTGCTGAGAATCACTTGCTCTCCGGCTCTTGCATGCATCCCCACTGCTCTTGGCCTTCTCCTGCAGGACAGCACTGCTCATGTGAGGGTTAAGGACCCTGCCTCAGAGCCACCACACACAGCCCTTGAGGAGTGGACCCAGAGATCCCTGTTTAGCCCGCCCTGATCACATGTCAGTCGTCTCCCATTCATTTGAGTAAAGAAAGCTTTGTGCTGTGCATTCTGAGATGAACTGGTAAGAGTTGGGGGAAAGACCAGTGGTTTCCACCCACGGCCCCAGCAGGCTTCAGAGGGCCTTTTCTGTGCCTCTTTGACAGTACTTTCCATTTTCTTTCATTTCAACATTATTTTATACTTGATAGAGTATGGAAAGCATTGCAACTTTCTTTGAAGTGTGTGTCTTACTTTCTATTCTGTGCAGTAGTCAGCAGCATACCTGGAATGAAATAAGTGTGCTTTAGGAAATTATTTCATGAAGGCATGCGGTTTTGTTAAGTTTTCTTTAAGATACATGTGATAACTGACTTTCACATTCCACATTGTTAAGTGTAAGTATTTTGTTTTCTTGCCTTGTGGATGTTTCAAGAGGTTGCTCATGTTTGTTCTCATCAGTGCCCTTCATGTGGTACCTGAAGGACATTTCCCAATGCGGTGCTGTGACATCATGGACAGGAAGGACGCTCAGTCCGTGATCTTATTTGTTAAGCAGAATGAGTTAGCGGATATGCAATAGTATAAAGGGGAAGTTATAGGCTCTTGGATAGTTTAAAATAATGCACATTTGGGGAAAGTTCAAGATTTATTTTCCTGGTTTTAAAAATGTATATAGATTTTACTGTTATTTAACAGTCTTAAATTTGTCAAATTGAAAACCTCTTATAGTTTTATTTGTGTCTCTGTAAGAATTTATCTTATTTTCATTGTTTAAAGAAAAGTGAGGTAATTTAGATACACATGTAACCAAATAATGATGTTGCTTTTCTATTTTTTTCCATCAGCGGTATCAAATACTTTTTATTGTTTCTTCAGCTGGTTGAACAGAATTAGTTGAGTGCCTCTTCACCTTTTTTCCATCTTATTCTCTTAAATGTATAGAAAATGCAGAATATTCACTAAGTGAATATAAAAATCACACTTTATGAAAACAAGATAAATCACACTTTGTAAAACACCTTTATTTTTAAATATATATATATTTCTTTATTGACTTCAGAGAGGAAGGTAGGAGAGAGAAATAGAAACATCAATGATGAAAGAGAATCATTGATCGGTTGCCTCCTGCACGCCCCCTACTGGGGAATCGAGCCCACAACCCAGACATATGTCCTTGGCCAGAATCGAACCTGGGACCCTTCAGTCTGCAGGCTGACGCTCTATCCACTGAGTCAAGCAGGCAAGGGCTGCAAAACACCTTTAATATCAATAATTTGAGCTACTTAATATAAACTTGTTACCTTTATTTGAAAAGCCCATCAAGAAAATTAGTAACATAATAGTCATACTATTGTTTTATTCTTTAAAGTTTTTAGGTTCTAATTGAATGTGGATTTAGTTACCTCAGTAAAGGTGGAGCCTGAAGTTTAAATGTACTGCTATGACAGGAAGTAAGAGTTTAAACTTAATGTATTCTTTTTTGCCTTGGTTTACAAATATTTCTACTTTATCTTATCTATGTGATCCATATTTTTTTTATGTCATAGTTATTCCCTAAATTATCTAAAACTGAATCACTTGGGTAGTTGCTTTTAAAAATAAAAATAGCTTTTAAAAAATGACTGCAAGTTTCTTTAAAGTTTGTGTCTTACTTTCTATTCTGTGCAGTAATCAGCAGCATACCTGAAGCACAATAAGTGTCCTGCACAGAAATGATTTCATGAAGACATGATTGTTTTGTTTTAAAACTTTTGCATAGGCTCCGGATTTTCCTTTTATGTCTCTAACTCTTAGGTGGATGTAGAGAACCCCTACCTCTGTCAGAGACTTGAGATGATTTTTCTACAAGCCTTCCTTCTGACTTAGAGATTGCAGGCTCCATGCAGTACTGAGCAGGTTGTTGGAAGTCATCGCTTGATTTGCCTTTTTATCTTTCCTGCAGCAGAAGAGGAGGGAGCTACAGAGGGTCTGGGTTAAGAATGCTGACTGAGAAGTCAGCCCCATAGGGTGCAGGTTGGAAGACATTTTTCACTTGACAGCTGTTGACATGATGATGACCCTGGACCGAATGCTGCACACTCAGCAGTAGTCCACCAGCACAGGTGTAAGGAAGGTGGTGCAGCCTGGCTGCATGTGTTAGAGGTCTGGTGGGGCTCCCTTACCCCTGTCTGATGCCTCAGAGTGCCCCACAATTCAGGTTTTTCTTGAAGGGAGTGCAGATAAAGAGATATTTGGGGCAGGATAATTCTTTGCTCTGCAGGAAGTTTGCATTATACAATGGTTAGCCTCCCAAGGCCTATGCCTAAGACCAGTGGCCTCCCTCCATATTTTTATTGATTTTTTACATAGGGAAAGGAAGAAGGACAGAGATAGAGAGCTAGATACACCGATGAGAGAGAAACATCGATCAGCTGCCTCCTCTGCACTCCCTTCTGGGGATGTGCCCACAACCAAGGTACATGCCCTTGACTGGAATCCTTGACTGGGACCCTTCAGTCCACAGACTGACGCTCTATCCACTGAGCCAAACCGGTTTCGGCAACAGTATTTTTTAAAATGAATAATTTGGGACTCTAGGAATAGTTAATATGGAGAAAAGACTGAGGTGAGTTCAGGGAAGATGTATTTGACTATCTGAACAACTGTTGTGTAGAAGAGAGATTTTCATTGGTCCTATATTTAATGGCATCTTACAGTTTATTGAGAGGATTTTTTTTCTTCATTATACAATAATGATGAATCTTAAAGTTGATGGTATTTCACACGATAAATAAGTGAAATACAGTTATCTCTTTATTGGTGCTTCTCCAGAGAAGAGAACCAAGGACCATGAATGGGCATTTAGGAAACAAGATTTTAGTTATAAGATAGCCCTTTCCTTTTTTAAAAATTAAACCTTTATTGTTGAAGATATTCCATATTCTCATTTTCCCCCCCTCTGTCCCACCCCACCCTTTACTCCAGGCCTGTTGTCTATGTCTGTGGGCTATGCATATATGCATACAAGTTCTTTGGTTGATCTCTTCCTACCCACCTCCACTTTCCCTCTGAGATTACACAGTCTGATCTATGCTTCTATGTCTTCATCAGTTTATTTTGTTCATTGGGTTTCACATATGAGTAAGATCATGTGATTCTTGTCTTTCTCTGACTGGCTTATTTCACTTAGCATATACTCTCCAGGTCCCTCCATGCTGTCTCAAAGGGTAAGAGATCCTTCATTTTTATTGCTCCATAGTATTCCATGGTGTAAATGTACCACAGCTTTTTATCCACTCATCTACTGCTGGGCACTTACTTGGACTGTTTCCAGATCTCAGCTATTGTAAATAACATTGCTATGAACACAGGGGTACATACATTCTTTCTGATTGGTGTCAGGATTCCTAGGATACATTCCTAGAAGTGGGATCACTGGGTCAAATGGGATTTCCATTTTCAGTTTTTTGAGGAAACTCCATACTGTTTTTCCATAGTGGCTTCACCAGTCTGCATTCCCACCAGCAGTGTATTAGGGTTCCCTTTCTCCACATCTTTGCCAGCACTTGTCATTTGTTAATTTGTTGATGATAGCCATTCTGACAGGTGTGAGATGATACCTCATTGTTGTTTAATGTACATCTCTCTGACCATCAGTGACTATGAGTATTTTTCATATGTCTGTTGGCCATCTGTGTGTCCACTTTGGAGAAGTGTCTAGGTTCTTTGCCCATTTTTTCGATAGATTGATTGTCTTCCTTTTGTTAAGTTTGTCTAGTTTCATTTTTTGCACATTATCTTTCCTATTTTCCCAACATCATTTATTGAATAGACTGTCTTTAATCCATTGTATGTTTTTGCCTCCTTGTCAAATATAAATTTACTATAAAAGCATGAGTTTATTTCTGGACTCTCTGTTCTGTTCCA